GGGTTCAAAGTTCCAGCCCAGCCTGGACAACTTAGCAACTTGGTGGGAGTCTTGTCTCAGAATAAGAAATAAAAAAGAGCTGGGGATATAGGCAGTGTGAAAGCCGAGGGTTGAGTTCTCAGTTCCGGTGGGGAAAGTCCTGCTGGGATTTTGTCTGAGAGTGTATCGAGTCTGCAGATTACTGAGGGAAACTGCGTCTCCCTTGCACTGAGTTTCCTGACCTGTTTATCACTCCACACCTGCTCAGCTCTTTAGGTCTTCAGTTTCTTTGAGGGACGTTTTGTAGTTTTGGGCTTATAGGTCCTTTCCGTCTTTTGTGAATTTATCCCTGAATAGTCAGTATCTTAGGGTCTCTTAAGGGGCAGTGTTTCTGAAAAGCATTTCTGTCGTGGGGCGATAGCGTTGCGTTCGAATGCAGACCTCATTCCGGTCGGCTCTGCTGCGTGCGGGGCCAGTTCCAGGGACTTTCTGTCGATTTCGTCAGGTTTTTCTTCGCAGGCGATCGTCTCGTCCACGGCTTTACTTCATTTCTCGTTTTAGTTCCTTTTCTCGTCCCCTGGTACCGTGTAGAAACTGCAGTCATGTTAAACAGAGGCGTTGACTGCAGCGTGTCTGCTTGTTCCGGATCCTAAAGGAAAGTATTGTCTTTTATCACGGAGTATTTTGTTTGCCGTAGCTTTCACATAGATTTATTTTATCAGGTTGAGGAAGTTCCTTTCTATTCCTACTTATCACTGTTTTTTTTTTTTAAACAGGGCGGGGGATTGAACTCAGGACTTTCATCTGGAGATACATCCATCCCTATGTCCCCAGACCTTCTTTTTTGAGATAGCATCTCACCAAGTTGCTGAGTTACTCAGGCTGCTTTTAAACTTGGAGCCCTCCTGCCTCAGCCTCTCAGAGTTCGGGGATTACAGGTGTGTGCCATCGTGCCAGGTGGGCTACGAGCCCTAATAAGGAAAGAGAGGTTCAGTTTTGTCGGTGGTATTTCTGCATTGATCAAGAACAGTTAGTTGCCCGGTGTAGTGGCACACGCCTGTAATCCCAGCACTCAGGAGGCTGAGGCAGGAGGATCATTGTGAGTTCAAGACCAGCCTGGGCTACAGAGTGAGCTCAAGGCCAGCCTGAACTGCATACTGAGGCCCTGTCTCAAAAAGACAAAAAAAAAAAAAAAAAGTTATCTTTTTTATTGGCTGATTTTTGAACACTTACCCAAGCTTGTATTCCTAGCATTCACCCCACTTGCCATGAGATAGTGTGCCATAGGCTATGTTGGAGAACCCATGGGCTGTTTAGTGTCGTTTAGTTTGCAGAATATTTGGGGGTTTCCCAGAGATTTCCTTTCTGAGGTCGGAGCAGACTCTTAGTAGGACTTGCGCACTTTGGGGTTTACTTAGACTTGCTTTATGTCCCCAGCTACGGCTCACTTTGGTGAGCACCCAAAGGCACTGGGAAGCAAAGTGTACTCTGGCCACCGACTCAAGCGCTCGTCCTGGCTGAGCTGTTTGCCCACGTGCAGAACCTTTCGTGCCTTGCGTATTCCGTCTGTGGAGCGTGAGAGAAGGGTGACTGCTTCTCTAGGTCTTCAGTCAGGTGGAGGAAAAAGCAGGAATTCAGTCTCAGATCTGGTATGGGCTGGGCTGGTTTCTTCCCAGACATTCCCTCACCCACAGACTTCTTTTTGAGACAGGGTCTTGCTATGTGGTTCAGGCTGGCCTTGAACTCACTGCTATCCTCCTGCCTCAGCCTTACCATTGCTGGAATTACAGCTCTGCACCACCACACCTGGCGGTTTTTGTTGTAGTGAGAAATCCTCTGTTATGCTAACTTGTTCCACCACATGTGGTGTGTCTTTTTCTTCCCTCAGCTACATTTAAGCTTTTTTTCTTTTCTGTGGTGCTGGGGATTGAACTCAGGGCCCCATGCATGATAGGCAGACTCTCTACCACTCCACTGCTAACTGAGCCTTTCCGTATTTTCATGTTGAGAGAGAGTCTTGGTGAGTTGCCCAGGGTGGTTTCTCACTTGGAACCCTCCTGCCTCAGCCTCCTGAGTAGCTGGGGTAACATTCATGCACCACCGCGCCCAGTATAAGAGTCTTTTCTTATCACTGGGCTTGAGCAATGTAACTGTCAGGTGTGGGTTTACAATTTTCTTCTCACGTCGGAGGAGTTTCAGCCATTATTTCTGCAAATGCCACCCCTCCCCCCGCGGCTCCTGTGCACCTTTATTTCCGCGCCGAGTGGGCCTGACTCCCGGAGGTCTCTGCAGTGGGGTCCTCAGGTTCTGCTGTCGCCTGCGGCAGTGCCCGACCTGCAGGAACCGTCACCAGGCTGCTGCACTTGGAGTTCCCGTTCTCTCTTCTGGGCGTTCGTTCCTGTCAGAACACGGTCTGGGGGTCGCTGCCTCCTGCGCACACACGACGCGGGAGCCATAGCTCCGCACCTCGCCCGCCTGTCCCCGCGGCTCTGAGTCCTGGCGCATGCGTGTGCGTTGCTCTCACTGTGGGAAGGGCTTCTTGTCTAAGCGCCCACTGAGGAACACCCTAGAAGCAGGCCCACTGTCGGAGAATTCTGCATTTGAGCTCCCTCCCTCCCTTTCTGCCCCCCCCCGCCCCCCGCTTTTCTCTCTCCTTTGGGTTTTTTGAGACAAGATCTCACTATGCAGTTCAGGTTGGCCTTGAATTCACAGAGATCCTCCTGCCTCAGCCTCCTGAGTGCTGGGATGACAGGCATGCACCACCACACACGGCTCCTTCCTTTTTAATTTTTTTTGTGTGTGTGCATGTGTTTTTGAGACAGGCTCTCACTATGCAGTTCAAGCTGGCCTTGAGCTCATTTTGTAGCCCAGGCTGGCCTCAAAATCACAACGATCCTCCTGTCTCAGCCTTCCAAGTGCTGGGATTACAGGCATGTGCCGCCACTCCTGGCCTCCTTTTTAAATTTTGAGATGGGGTTAAATTGCCCAGGCTGGCTGTGCTCAAACTCTGGACCGTCTTGCCTCAGCTTCCCAGAGGGCCGCCACGCCCTGCTGTGTCAGACTTGTTTCAACTTCTCGTCATGACGCTTTCCGTGCCTACCCATGCCGTTCCATGCGTACAGTCTGTGCTGTGTCCTCCTGAACGTTATCCTGTTGCAGGAATATACTGCGGGTTTGTGTGTGTGTGTGTGCGTGTGTGTGATCCTTTCTCCTGATGGAGAACATATGGCTGATTGCCCGTTTGGGGCACTTTTAAATCAGTTCAGATCCTTCGTGGACGTCATTAAATCGTCTTGTCCCTCTGAGCTCCAGCTGGGGGGTGACTCATTGCTGTCCCCAGCACCGTGCCGGAGCCCGGAGTCAGGAGGAGGCGCACGTGTGTCCTGGGCTGGTCTGACCTGTGTTTCCGCGGGAGCGCGTGGGCCGGACCGGCCGGGGACTGAGTGGGATTCGGTGTCTCTCTAAGCGGAGTCGCTCGGCTGTCGAGCTGTGGGCGACCGTTCAGTGCTGCGAGGCTGCAGGGTGGGTGCGGGGACCCAGGCGGGAAGGGAGCGGCTCTGGTGCCGGCTCAGTCCCCGTGCTCCGCCGGCTCTGAGGGCCGGGACCCCGGCTCGCCCGCCTTGGGAATTCCGCGTTGCTGGGCTTTCTTTGCTCTCTGTTTGCTCTGTAAAGTTCCTGCTCCGGTTGTTCTGCAGACGCTGTTAGATTTATGAGCTCCTGAGAGGCGGGAGAGAGAAGAAGCAGAAATGAGCTGAAGAGCTGACAGTTTCTCCCTTTCTCTTGCCAGCCAGAAGAATTTACTGAGAGTCTGCACAGTTTTAAGAAGAAGGCTTTTAAAAAATCTAAAGCCTGCGGCGTTTGCAAAGAGGTCATCGACGGCCAAGGGGTTTCATGCCGAGGTAAGCGCGCCGGGCTTGCGATTCTCTCCCCAGCTCGGCCCTTGAGAGACAAACAAATCGCAGAATCAAAACAGGCTCGGGGGAGTTTCCCGGAGTTGAGCCTCGGAATTTCCCTCTCGCTCCCCCTTCATCCTGGCTGTCCTTGGCCTGGCCCTGCGGTGTCCACGCGGCTGTGAGCTCGCAGGGCAAGTGTGCAAGGTGCCCCCAGCCGCTCCCCCAGGAGGGGGCGGCCACCCGACTCCCACACGCTCCCTGGTTTCCTGCCATGGCTAGATTCACCTTTTTTGTTTGTTTTGTTTTGGTTGTTTGAGACAGGGTCTCGCTGTGTGGTCTAGGCTGGCCTTGAACTCACTCTGTAGCCCAGGTTGACCTCAAACTTGAGCTCTGTGGTCCTCCTGACTCAGCCTCCCGACTGCTGGGATTATAGGTGTGCACCACCACGCCCGGCTTCTTTTGGCAAGTTTGCAGAGTCCTGCGGTGTTGGGACCTGCTCTGCCCATTCCTCCCTTGGGACACCTGGCAGAAGTTCCCTGGCGAGTCAGAGGAAGCTGATGCATGACAGTGCCTCTGCACTTGGGGCCCGAGCATCTGGCTGGGGTCGGTGCATCACCCCCGCACCCCTGCCCCGCCCTGGGTCCCTGGTGCCCACCCCAGGCCTGGCGGTCGTCCTCCTCCGACCAGAGCCCCAGGGGTGGAGTGCACCACCCTCTCCTGTCTTTGAGGCAGCCTGTGCTGGACGCGTCCCTGGCTCAGGTGACGGGGACAGGGGTCATGAGCAAGGTTGGCTCCCTGTCCGTGCGTCAGGCAAGCCCACCCCGGGGTGGCAGGGCCTCCCTGCCTGGTGGTTGAGGAGGAGCCCGGGCCAACCGCAGGTCCTGCCAGTGCGGAAGGAAGGAGCCGGGACAGGGTGGCCTTGGGAGGGCAGGGACCCGGGGCCAGCTGGCGGCAGGACCAGCTGGGGGCGGTGACCGTGTGGGCAGAGCAGCCTCCCTGGGGCTGTGAGCGGCCCCTCTGGCGACCTGGGGCTGAATGCAGGCAGAGGAGCTCCCAGGGCGACCTCCGGGCCCAGGACCCAGGGTCTGTGGTGGCTGCCAGCCCCCCGGGGTGACCTGGTGACTCAGAACCCTGCAGGATGGAGCCTGCTGCGGGATACAGGGCGACATCGCCGCTCCGGCCGTTATCTTATCTGGAGGGAGACGGGGCTCAGGCCAGAGGAAGGGCTTTTGTTCCCGAGGAGCGCAGAGAGGAGCGCGGAGGGAGTGGACGTGCTCCCCGGGGAGAGGCGTGCGGGCAGAGGCGTGCGCCCAGCTTATCTCGCTGCCCGAGACTCAGCGAGGCGGTGGCTGTGGATAGCTGGGAAGTCAGTCGGATAATCGTGCCCAAGCGTCCCCCTCGATGGCAGCGCTGGGGACCCCCGGGACTGGGCTCTGCACAAGGGCCTGGCCGTCCCTGGCCCCATCCTTCCGGCTCTCTGGAGCACGGTGTGCTGCGGTGCAGCGGGCTCTCATCATAGCCCTGGGCCTGCGGGGTGCTGAGCGCCCCCTGCCCCGGCGGGAGGCCGGCGTGCTTACAGCGCTCCAGGGGACAGCAGGGCTCCGGGACCCAGCGGCCCACGTGGCCGGCGTGACTCTGTCCGGGCAGCGGGTGCGGCCCTGGCTTCCCGGTCGGGAAGAGCGTTGGAGGCCCGTGGGGTTGGGAGAAGAATGTCCTCAGCGGCCTCCCATGCCCGTAGCAGGGCTTTGAGGGGTGAGTGGCCTGGGGGCTCGCCGCTGCCCTGATGGGAGGCAAGCGGACCGATTATCAGTTGATGGTTTTGACTCGAGCCCCAGTCTGTCATCCTGCAGCTCTTTTCTCCTCCTCCCTTTTTCTTCCCTCCCTCCCTCCCTCCTTTCTTTCTTTTTCCCGGGATTGGAGCGAGGGCCTTTGCTCTGAGCTACATCCTCAGCCCTTCTTCTTTTCTGTGTTTTAAAATTTTTATTGAAAAAAATTTGTTTTCATTTCTTGAGACAGGGTCTCCCTGTGTGGTTCAGGCTGGCCTTGAGCTCATTATTTAGCCAAGGGGGCCTTAGACTTGAGGTGATCCTGCGGCCTCGGTGTCCTGGGTGCTGCTGGGGTTATAGGCGTGCACCACCACACCCGGCCTTTTTTGTTCTATATTCTGAGACAGAGTCTCCCTAGATTGGTCAGGCTGGGCTCAAACTTTCGGTCCTCCTGCCTCAGCCTCCCAGAATGCTCGGATCTCAGGCATGTCCTCCGTGCCTGGCTGTAGGTTGTGTTTAACTGGTTGGTGGCGGGTTTGAGTCCAGCCTAGTAACTTAGCGGGTGAGTGAGACCTCGTCTCAACCTCAGAAATGAAACACGGGCCAGGGATGTAGCTCAGGGCGGATGTTCTGAGTTCGGCTCCCAGTCCCCCCTTCATAGAGTTCTCTACTTAGAGCTCACGCACAGGGCACCCCTGCGGGCATGCGGGTCTCTGCGCCTGCCTGGCACCTAGAACCTAAGCTGTCCCTGTCCGCGGATGTGAGTGACCCCAAGCGGGAGGCCCCGGGGGTTGGCAGAGTGTCCTTCTTGGTCTGCTCTCTGGAGGCAGAGCCTGGCGGAGGGCTCTGGACGTGGCCTGCAGGGCGCCTGGGGTGCAGGGACACTGCTGAACGTGAGACGCTCTTTCATGACTGGGTAAATAAGTGCGGAGCGGCCCGCGGCCTGGGTTCCAGGGCTCGGGAGACATTTGAAAGAGTGGCATTTCCAGGACAACCTGGAACAATGTCTGCCTGTTGAGCCTCTCAGCCAGGAGCCCCTGCAATGGCAGCCAGGATCCCTTTTTTTTTTTTTTTTTTGAGACAGAGTCTCGCTGTGTAGCCCAGGCCGGCCTTCAACTCACAGTGATCCTCCTGCCTCAGCCTCCCAAGTGCTGGGATTGCAGGTGCACGACACCACCCCGGGCTCCCTTTGCTTATTATAAGAATTTATTTTGAAATTCTGTTTCTTTTCTTTTTTGCAGTACTGGGAATTCAACCCAAGTGCACCACCACACCTGGCCTTTTTTATTCTATATTCTGAGACAGAGTCACATTGAGCTATATCCCCAGCTCTTTTTTGAAAAAAGAGGTATTTTTATTTTTTTAAATTGTGTCTTACTGCCATAACATGGCAATAATTATTTTTCTAACTTTTTAAAATTTATTTAAAAAAGTAAAAGAAGGATAACATAGTAATTAGGGGGATTTACTGAATTACAGACAAAGTGGTAGGACATGGTCAATGATTGCTACTTTACCTATTTGTATCTTCAAGGTAGTTTCTCAGGAAAACAAATGGACAAATAATAGTGAGTTGCAGACAGAAATGGTAGGAAATTATCAATGGTTGTTGTACCATACTTTGGTTTCTTCAAAGTGGTGTCTAGGGAAAACAAATAGAGCCCTGTCAGAGTGGACTGCACCCCTGGACAAGCCACTTCCTCCTCACACGTCCTTCCCAGGAGCAGGGCCTGTGAGGTCCATTGCCTGCCCCCGGGCAGGACTGGGTCCCCTCCCGAGGGACTCACAGGGTCGGCGCTCCGTGGACGGCGCCCTTCCCAGCACGTTTGATAGACTAGAAGTGGAAACAGGCAGTAAGTAAACCCCTTGTATGCTGATATAAAAATGTCATTTGCGATGAAAGGCGACTTTTTCAGATGCAGGGAGAAGAGTAGGGTGTTATGTGTCTTGGGTGCCTCTGTGCTTCCACGCAGGGCTGCCCCCTGCCCACCCCCTGGAGGTGCTGGAAGTGGGTCCCGTGCCCTCCGGAGGCAGCTGGCAAAGGAAACATTGTCAGTAGCGCCTCCCTGCTCTCTGGACCTGATCGCACACTCAAGTTCAGCTGACCGCTTTTTTTTTTTTTTTTAAAATGGGGGTCTTGATATGTGGTCCAGGCTGGCCTTGAACTCACCATGTAGCCCAGGCTGCCCTCAAACTTGCCGCAGTCCTCCTGCCTCAGCCTCCTGAGTGCTGGGATGACAGGCGTGTGCTACCATGCCCGGCTGTGACTGAGATCTCTATGGACCGGGTGATATGCTGGGAACTGGCTGAAGGATGCCCCCAGGAGGGAAGCGGGCACAGGTGTACTTGTCGGGGAGGGGGGCATTTGTGAGTGCCGGCGGAGGAACCTGGTCTCCAGACTCTGGTCCCTGCTTCCAGGGTGTTGTGCGGCCCAGCGCCCGGCTTCCGTCCCGTTTCGCTGGAACCCGCCGGTCCACCTTGCCCCTCGAGTGGTCTCCGCACTCAGCAGTTAATATTGCGCCTGGTCGTTAGGAAATTCTTGGCCTGTGACACGGCGCTGAGGGCCAGATATTGGGGCCTTTATCGTTCCACCGCCAGGATCACCCGTATGCTGATGGCCCTAGTGCTTTTAGGAAAGGCCTGGCAGTGGCCACACTCCTCTGTGGACACACAAGTCTTCCAGAGGTCCAGCCTCTGGGCGAAGTCCCCGGTCTGGGCAGTGGCACCTGTGACAGCTCGCGCAGCCCACTTCTGCGGGACGCACGCCGCTCCCTGGTGAACGGTCGTGTGCTGTGTGCCAGGTGTTTGTTCAGGAGGAAGTGCCATCCCACAGACGCCCGGTGGCCGCTGGCTGTCACTGCCCTGCGCCCAGCTCCGGTGTGGGCCGTGCCCGGCGGCTCCCGGAGTTTGCACAGCGGCGTTGCTGTCCAGGCGTCTCCCTGGGTCCGACTGACCAAAGTGAACAATGTCTGTGGTGCCGTTAGGTATTCTTCACCCAAACCGGCGTTTCTTCAAAGTTAGCGCGGGGTGGTGAGCACAGCAGTGGCAGGCTCGGCTCCGTGGCGTTGCCCGAGTGCCTGGGAGGATGCTAAGTCATCCTGTTAGCTTGGGCCTCCCCACCTCAGCCTCCTGGCTTCAGAGGCGTGCGCCCCTGCGTCAGCGCTGTTCTGTGCAGGTCGCAGCAGTGGCTGTTTCACGGGGCCCAGGACTGTCTTACAGCGGAGGAGCAGAGCCGGGAGCGTGGTGCCGGGAAGGTGCAAGTCAGGGCCTGAGGGCTGAGGAGCAGTGGAGGCCCACTTTTTACAGGATTCAAGGAGACTTAGGGATTTGCACGCCTAATCTGAGACTCTACCAGCCAAAGATGCTCCACAGTCTGAAACTCAGATGCTCAAAAAATTTTGGATTTTGGAGCATTTTAGATTTCGGATTTTTGGACTGAGGACAGTCATGTGAATATCCCAAGATCTGAAACACTGAAATCTGAGGCACTTGGGTCGCAGACATTTGGGATGAGGGCACTCGAGCTGCGTTTGTCTTCAGGAGGAACAGGGCTCCTCGCCCACCGAGGAGGGGAAGGAACGAGGAGCTTCCCGTACCTCGTGTGCCGCGCTTGTGCCGGTGACTGGGAACCTGCCAGGAGCCATGGGCGCGGGGCAGGGTCCTCGGGTGCAGCGGCTCAGGGGCAGCCCGGAAGTCGGGGCTTCGGTGGTTGATTTTCCTGGTGGAGTGGGGTATGCACTTGAGAACCTGCGCGGATCTGCTCCCGGGCGCCGCAGGATGGGGATGACTCTCCTCCCCTCCTCCGAGTCACTGGGACCATTCCCGTACTTGATGAGGTCCGAGCCCACTGGGCAGCGGGGCGCCTGGCAGGCACGGCCGAGGGTCACTGAGCGCGGGGCGCCTTTGCCTTCGTGCCCGGCGCGCCCTGGGCTGCTGTGCTGGCTGGGGGCCTGCCTCGCGGGTGCCACCCCCGTCCAGCCACGCGCTGCCTCTACTTTCACCGTTGAAGCTGCGACGACACAGGATTGTGCGGCTTACAGGGGCCGCTGCGGGGGTCCCAGAGTCATTCAGACAGGACTCTGTCCCCAAAGAAGTAGACGCAGCACAGGACCCAGGCGCAGGACTTCCTCACGCCCAGCTCTGATTTCCAGGCCAGTGGCTCCAGCTTGCTGCCCGGCTCCACGAGGGGTCCAGCCTGGCTGGGTGCACCCTGAGAAGTCCCTGTCTTCCAAGGCCCTTGCTCCCGAGATCTCCCCCCGGGCTGGCTGAGCTGTTGCTGACGGAGTAGTTGTTCCTGGGTTCTTTTTCGTTGTTTTGGTGCTGGGGACTGAACCCCAGGCCTCGTGCACGCCAAACACACGCTGTGGCTCTGAGCTGCTCTCCTGCCCTGTAGCATGGGTCTAGGCTTCTTGCTCCCCTCTGCCGTGTGTCTCAAGTGCTAAATTGCTTTTGTTGCCAGGTGTGGTGGTGCACGTCTGTAATCCCAACACTCAGGAGGCTGACGCAGGAGGGTCTCTGTGAGTTTGAGGCCAGCCTGGGCTACATAGTGAGTTCAAGACCAGTCTGGGCTACCTAATGACACTCTGTTTCAAAAAACAAAAGAAAAACAAGCAATTGCTTTTGTCGGGGACAGGCTGCCCCTGGGACCTTCTATACTGGACTTCCTTAGGCAGCTAGGGCGTTCAGAGATGCAGAAAACATTGCTGATTCTGGGAGGCTGAGGCAGGAGGATGGCAAGTTTGAGCTCAGCTTGGTTAACTTAGAGAGATCCTGGCTCAACATAGAAAATGAAAAATGGCTGGGAATGTAGCTCAGGCAAAGGCCCTGGGTTCAGTCCTCAGTACGGCAAAATGAAAAGGAAAGGTGTCGCCGCTGAGGCCGCCAGACACACTCACATTCTCTCCTCTCTTTTCTTCCAGCCTGCAAGTATTCCTGCCACAAGAAATGTGAGGCCCAGGTGAGCCGTCCGCGCTTCCCGTGGGACTTCTGCAGCGAGCTGGCTGCTGCTGAGTGAGACGCCGAGTGGGGGCCCCTTGGACGGCGGCCACAGAAAGTCAGGAGAGAACTCAGGAGCTTTGAAATCCGTGTTTTCATTATAGAAAATAATTCTCAAGAATTTGATTTCAGATAAGATTCTGATCACTTTCCCTGGGGCTCTTCTCGGTGACAGGCGATCCCTGGTTTCTCCTTGCCTGGCAGCCGCTTCTCGGGCCGCAGGGGTGGGCATGGGGGCACGGGGTGCAGGCCGGGCCTTCGGGGCAGCCTCGGCTCGTGCCGTGGGGAGCTGGGCACAGGGGTTGCTGCCGCCATGGAATCTGGGGACCTGGAGAAGGAGGTGCTGACCTGGGTCTGTGTGTCCAAGAGAGGCTCAGGGGCTGAGCCCGCCCCTGCCCGAGGTCGCAGGCTGTGCTGGGCTTTTCTGGGTTTAGACTCTGAAGAATGGAGTTTGGGGGACACTGGAGGTGTGGTTTCTCTGTCCTCCTAACGTCCTAGGTACCGTGGGTGATCCAAAATACAGTGAATGTTGAAGTTTCAGGAACTTACTATACTAAAGGACACGTTGCCATTGATCCCCCTTAAAATCCGCCGCTAGCTTCAGACACACTCATCCACCACCCTGTCTGAAGCGGCTCTGGAGTCCTCTTTGCTGAGGGTCTTTATAGGGCGTGATCAAAAATATGATGACTGGGCCGGGGATGTGGCTCAGCGGCATAAGCCCTTGCCTTGCAAGCCTGAGGGCATGAGTTCGATTCCCGGTACAAAAAGAAATCCCATGACTGCTGCTTCCGAGTGCCGGGCAGCGGAAAGGCAACTTGTTAAAACATGACACAGTGTCTTTGTGTGCCTTATTCACTGGATCTAGCCCCCTGTGACTTCTGGCTCCTCCCCAGAGTCACAGTGACCACGAAAGGGGTACGTCTTCAATGGATTTGGGACACTGAGGCAGCCAAGACAGTGCAGCTAAAGACCCTGAGGAAAGAGGACACCAGAACTGCTGCAGAAAGCGGCAAGGACGATGAGATGATCGTGGAGTTTGGGGAAGGGGATCCATGGCAATGTGCCCTTTACTTTAATCATTTAAAAAAAGCATAAATTTAAACACCTGCGTTGCTGTTAGTCCCACTGCGTATCTGTGGCTCTGAGCAGGTCCCCGCTGAGCCGCTGGCCTCCCGCAGCCCGTGGGGCCGAGATGTCCCAGCCAGCCGCCCCACAGCTGCCCCAGGGACTCAGGATGTCAGAGACCTGGGGTTTCGCAGTGGACTCGGGGTCCTGAGCCTCCCACCCTGACCTTATTCTCCAGGCTGAGGCCGTGTTCGTGCGAGTGTGCGTGCTTGCACGTGGGAACCAGAGGGCCGGTTTCCTCCACCGTGTCTGCCCTCTGCACACCCACACGCACACGCACACACATATACACACAGACGCACATGCACCCACACGTGCATATACACACACACGCACACACACACGTGTACGCACACGCAGACCCACGCAGTTGGGAGAAGCAGGAGGTCTGGCCCTGTTTCTTTCCAGACGGGTGGCGCTGCCTCTTCTCGGGGACTTCCGAACTGGCAGCTGCCCCGGCCCGCGTCCCCCACCCTCCCCTTCCCGGAGGTCACGCGGCTGCCTCGGCTCCGTGGGGCGAGGGAGCGGTTCTGCTGCCCCTTTCCGCCCCTCTCGGCAGGCTTCCCCTTTCCAGCAGGCAGAGTTTTCTGTCCCAGTGGCAGTGCACAGCAGGCGGGGCTGGTACCGGGTTGGGCTTCTTTCAGGGCTTCACGTCCAGCCAGCTTCTCTCCTTGTGCTGCACCCCCTTTTTTCTAAGGGGTCGTGTCCAGCGGGGCTTGCGGGTGTGGCGGTGAGTAGGGGGTTGCCCCACCTCGGGTGCGGCTCAGACTTGCAGGGGTCCTCTTCCCTCCAGGGGCTTCGCCGCACCTCACCCATGGGGTCTCTGGTGACCGCCCCGTCCTCATAGCTTGTTTCCGGTCGCCCATGAGGGGCTGGGAGGGGGGTGAGCTGCCCGTCCTCCTGTCCCGTCACCTTCCCGTGCCACCTGACGGTTGCAGAAACAGCCTGCCCGTACCCCTGACCTGCTGGTGAGTCAGGGGCTGAATTCTTGGCTTCAGAGAACATTCCGAAGCCTGAACTCTCACTGCTGGCCGGGTTCTCAGCACAGCGGTTGGCAAGGCGCTGAGGGATACGCCGTGACTCCTATCAGATGCGGCTTCGGGGAAAGGTATCGCATTCTTCTCTCTTGATACCAGCTTTGACTGGCAGGAGAAAACCCACCGGCAATAACAAAGCACCTTCTCATTCCTGAAGTAGACTGCGGCGTTGTTGTGGGCGCAGGGCTGAGGTTCCCAGTGGCCTGGGAGCCCGGCAGGGCTGGTCATCCAGGAGCGGAATGGGACGTGGTTCCGTGGTTCCTCGCACACCACTGCCCGGGGTTTGGGCCATGGGTGGCTGTGGGTCTGCAGGTCACATCTGGGTTTGGGGCTTTTGTGATGCTGCAGTAGGCGCCTGAAACAGTCTCTCGGGCACTCGTGAGGTTTGGGTAGCAGTGAGGCTGGGGTCTGAGGCTCCCGGTGTGCGCCCTCTCGCGGGTCCTGCTTGGTGTGAGTGGAGGTGACTGCTGTGGTCCTTGGTCTGTGCCATCCCTGCGAGGCCTTCCGTGTGCCCTGTGGCGCTGAGTCTGGGGCACGTTGTCCTGCAGAGCTGGAGACGGCGTCCCCGGTGGCAGGGTCAGCAGGGAAACGGTCACAGCTGAGGCGGTGGCAGCCCTAAAGATGTGGCCAGTCTTCCCGAGCCGCCGGACAGGGTAGCCCCACAGGCAGTGGGCAGACAGAGGCAGGGACCTGGGCTGTAGTCTGCACGGGCCCGTTGGGTCCCCTGCTGTGCTCCGAGTTCCCGCGTGGGACCGAGCATCCGTGTGGCGCCTTCGTGCACGGGGGGGGGCCCCCCCGGGAGGCGGTGAGGCCAAGCACACGCAGCGCTCGCTGTGAGGGGCCCCGCGGGTCTGAAAGCCTGTCCTGAGCAGCGGCGGCGAGTCTGCGGCGCCTTGAGGGGGCACAGGCGTGCGGCCTCTGGAGATGTGGGGCGTTGCTCACCGTGCCAAAGCCTCGCAGCCTAGGGCGTTTCCCTCGGGCAGCGCACGAGAGCCTCACGCTCCTCATGTGTGGGAAGGGAAGGGTTCTTCCCCATAACATAAAAACGACTTTCTCTTATTCTGGGAGGCTGAGGCAGGAGGATGGAAAGCTCCAGCTCTGCCTGGGTAACTTAGTGATTTAGCAACACCCGGTCTCAAAGTAAAATTCCAAAAAGGCTGGGGTGTAGCTCCTGGGTTCAGGTCTCAGGACGGGGGCAGGAAGATGACGTGTCTCAGCCGGCACTGTAACGTCAGGGAGGCTCTGGGGAAGCTGGGGGCCGGGTGAAAGCTGGAAGGTTGGGGTTCCGTGCCCTGCTCCCAGGCTGCTGCACCCTCTTGCCTGAGCTACACGAGCAGCGTGGGCCTCGTGACTTGCTGTTTTTCCGCTGCTGACTCAGGGCCGGGGAAGGAGAAGTAGGAGACGCGCCGCTTTGGGAGGGAGACACTGCCGAGGGGAGGAGGAGCGGCCGGCACCGTCCCCCGAGGTGGGCGCTCTGGGAGGAGAACGGGGAGCCCGTGACTGGGAACCCGTCCTTGCAACTCCTGGCTTCTTCTACTTCTGCCCGTGCTGTGCCCCTCTGACCTGGGAGCTGTGCAGAGTTCAAGGCAGACCCCGGAGAACTTTCTGCACACTCAGGGCCCCAGCGGGGACGGCACAAGGGAGCCAGCGAAGCCGGGGTGCACATGAGTGGGGGCTTTGTCCTCGATGCCTGCATGAGCTCGGGATGCCCACGCCAGCTACCTGGGCTCCAGGTGCCCCTGGCTGCCCTAGCCCTGTACTTCTTAGTCTGTGGTGTCTTCTCTGAGATGTCCTGGCCTCTCCAGAGACCCTGCTGCTTGTGCCCAGAATCACTGTCCCCAAGTCTTGGAGCCCCCCCAGTGCCACCTGCCAGCTCCGTTCTGGGGGTGCAGGGTCTGCCTGGCCTTGTGGCAGGCCCCGAGTCACTGCCACCCTCAGCCCCACCGTGCCCAGGGCATTTACAATCAGGGTGTACAGCCTGACCCCGCCTGGTGTGTGAGGGGCGGGCCCTTATCCTGCGGACCACATCTGACCGAGTGTGACCCAGGTGTGTCAGTGAGGAGGGGCTGACACGGTTTTCACAGGAACCCAGCCTCGCGGGCCCAGCCCGCTGCTGCGCGCTGGTTCCTGGTCACCGTGTGTACGGTGTGGCTGTCGCCCCTCTGTGAGCGAGACGGGAATCCCAGCTGGGCTGAGTGCGCCTTGGTGAGAGTCAGCGGCCCCAGCACTCAGAGCGACGGCTTGTGCCCTCAGCCATCCCTGGTCTCCGCCATCACCAGAGGATGCCACTGCTGAGTGACGGTGTTGGTTAACTGGCCGACACCCCTGGTTGTGGCCGCTGGTCTCTGCGGCCGCTGTACAGTGCCACCAGCCAATCCTGGCTGGTGCCTCTGGTCAGGTGCAGAGGGTCCTCATCAGACACTGATCTCTGCTAGCAGGCTCTGGGCCGCTTCCGGATGACAAGTCCTGGTGTTCACAGGGATTCTTCAGCTGCTGGTCTGAGCAGACTGCCCAGGATAAGGATCCTAAGAAGTCTGCAAGATCTGTAGAGCTGGCGAGGCTGAGGCTGTCACTGAGCAGGACAGTGCTGCAGCCGCACAGGGAGACCAGCACACCGGAGCGTGTCCCCCAGACTGACCTGAGGGGTGATGCAGTGCTGCTGGTATAGCAGTGCAGGCCTGCGATTGGTCTACATTGGCGCCTGCTGATTGGTGCAGATCTGAGCTTGTGACTCGTTCATATCTGAACCCATGGTTGGCCTATACTCAAACCTCTGATTGGTCCAAATTTGAGCTTG